GGGGGCAATGCATAATCTCTGACTGAAAGTAGGGGGATGGGCTATTTACAGGACAATGAAAAATGTTTTGTTAGCATTTCTTCCGAACTGCAATATATACTAGTAGGATTATTACCAAGCATGAGCTTATTGACAGATAAATACGGTATAGAACTCAGGTGACTGTTAGGGCCCTAGGGCCTCTTTGTTTTTATAAACATCCAGAATTGTCTTCGCCACCCAGCATAATTTAACTCAGTCGATCCTGAAATTTCATAATAAACTATTCCAACCGTTGAATTGAAAAAGTTCAAATGGTTTAAGTGGTGAATGAGTCAAGCTGTATTCAACATAAAAAACTACAGAGTATACCCTCCTATCTTGTGGTGCTCTCGGGTCCAATAAGGCTGTGTTCCCTGCATCAACAGTCGGAGAGCGACTTCCGTACTTACTTTACATCTGGCCAACAGAAGACAGAAACTGATGAAAGAGGAGCATTGAAACCTAGTCATATTTTGTTAATTTTGTAGATGGTGCCACAACAAGGGCTGCAGTATCTGTAACAAATCTACGGACAAGTTTGGTAGTTTCTGGCTAAAGAGCAAATATTGTTTGAGCGGGGCAGAGCAAATTCCTTGAAGGTTTTTTACGATGGCTGGTATGGCTATTGATAGCATTGGTTAATGTACAAAAAAAAACCCACAAAAACCAGAAATGGATGCATCCATATCATTTATCAAAAGTCAGTTAGATCTTTTCTTTTTTGTTTTGTTTCCATTTGTGAAATAACCAAGCATATTATAAAGAAATGTTAGGACAAAAATGGCACTTCCATACCCGCAACCCCGGATATACTGAAAGAGGGTGACAAACCTCTTATGAAAATAAAAACGAGGGTCATAGTGTGCGACGTCTTTTTTCGCAACAAATATACAAGAAAAGTAGATATTAAATTAGAACTATAATATTTTAATGATGTAAAAGGTACATTCTACATTCATTGAATTATTCTTCCAGCAGATCTAGCTGATCCTCATCCACAATACCAAATTCAAAGTTGAAATATAAAAAGATTTGTCAACAACACAACTTATTAAATTGATTCATAATAATGAATATGATACTGTGTTTTCACAGGCATTTTTTTATGTCAATAAAAATGGTCCTGACAATACGTAAGAAGTTGCACCCTACTCATATAAAATATCAGTTTTATACGAGTAGGGTTTGGATTCTTATTGTAAGGATCATTTTGATTGATAGAAACAAATTATCAAATGCTAGTGCGTGTTTTGAATGTCTGAGTAACGTCGTTTTTAGCATCAGATCCAACTGAAATATGCGATTTATAAAGAGTGCAGAATGGAGCATTTGGTCCATATACACCGGACTTTATCCACTATAACTCATTTTCCTACGACATTTGATATGTGCACAATTATCTTTTC